ATACTCCCCAAGTATGCATCAACGTTCTGTTTTATAAAGTCAAACCAAACATCATCCATCAATTCATTTTTATATGTTAAGATATTACAAGACAAACATATACATACCTCGTCATACATCATTTCATTCGGATTAACTAACAGCTGAAACCACTCCTTGTCCACCGCTTATGGAATGCCGACATTTCTCCTATTAAATAATATAATAGAAAGTTATTTTTTTAAATATAAATAATTAAACGTTGGATATAAGCAGCCAGACACGTTGAGCGTTTTTGAATCTACGACGAAGATTAAGTTCGTATTACAAAAGTAAGTCAAAGTCAGGATTATATTGCAATTATTTAAAAGTTTGGATTAAATTGTCAAACGCGAAAAGGTAAAGGTTTAAATAGCAATTAACCCAAATTATTATTATATAGCCAACATTTTACCTAGTCCACAAAACATAACTTTATAGGTTAAATTGCAAATTAAGTTTCAACTTTTGCTGCTTTGCAATTTAGTAGTTTAACTTTTCAATTTTTGGTAAGAATACATTTGATTTGAAAAAATTAAAGCACACATTCAAGAGTCAACATCAACCTATCAAATGCTTATTATTTGAAATTCCAACTCATTAACCAACAAGGGTTGACTCAAGTGGTAAGCAGCTTGATGCCGCTTAAGCAAGGTCTCGGGTTCGAGTCCTTGTGGATGCAGAAAATCCTTGTTGGGAGACTCACCCACCACTGTCAGGTGTGCGACCCGGGTCGACCAACGGATCGGGAGATAGCTCATGATACCGTGGCTGGCTACCAAAAAAAAAAAATCTAACTCATTCATGCACTTAATTTGATGTGGTTGTCAACATACTCAAAATGCTACACCGATGAGATAATATCATAATATGGGTCATAGAAAACAAGTTGCAATGAAGTTCCAAAGTTGAAGATTTGTATAATATCGCCTATAACTCTTATGTAGTTTTTACTTTTTCTCGTTTGTAACACGCATGTAGTATCTCCCTCTCCACTTTTTATAGCTAATCCAACAAGTATCTGACGTCCGACTTGTTGACAATGTATTTCGTTTTGCAGAAATCGAAAGTTTGTCTGTTATTGCTAGTTTTTACAAACTTTAGGATATTAAAATAATTATACATTCACTTATAAAGATGTGCATATATATAAAACTAGTTGGCCGTCCGGCTGTGCACGCACAGCCGGCTCTAGTCCAGTATATAATTGTAAGTTTATAACTAATATTTAAGGAAATTTAAAAATACACATACGCACCTTTTATTAATACTGGTAATATGTATTTTAATATTGCATCGTGTTACAACTGTTTTGCTGTTGAACCAACCTATGTTGATGCGAAAATGTGACAACTGTGGTAACTTGTGAAATAGATTGCTAATAGATGGTTAATGCGAAAATACGGCCTTGTATTTTATGGCATTTATAAATCTACCTTCAAATAACTTAACATCAATCCATTAGAAATAAGATATTTACCGATTAACAAAAGTATTAATAGGTTTTTTTTTTTGTCGACACAATATTCAAGAAGGTGTGTTAAAAACCGAAATATTGATATCCACTTAACAATCAACCCCAACCCAAAGAAACAATACCACAAAGGTGTATTAGAGTTCAACCTTAAAAGCAATTCTTTCTATTCCATCATGTACTATTGACTTAAAATTTGGCGTTATTTGAAATAATGATTTGAATTATAAAATTTGGATGTATTTGAACTAATAAATTGAATTTATACTGGTACAATTGAAATTTAAGGATTCAATTACAGATCCCAATTGGGCTAGGTCGGTAGAAAGAAGTTCAACTTTTTGTGCATGGGGCTCAGCTATTACTAAAACATTACATCGGAAAAGAAAGAAGAAGAGACGTTAGCGTTTGAAATGTTTTGTTCATGAAAGAATAATAATAGGAAAGTATTGTAAGGACTTGATCATAGAACATTAGGAATTATCGAAAAAAAATAAAAATAACATAGAAACCAATGACCACTAATGGAGCAACAAAAATGTCATTCTCAAATAATTAAACCTATAAAAAGGGGTAAACATAAGTGAGGTCATCTCCATTTAAAAAAAAAAAAAAAAAGATTAATGAAATGTTTGTTTTGATGGCTCATTTTTGACCCAATATATATACATATATTTGTAATACATATATACCCTAACGTCTCTTGCTTTGTCAAAGGTCGTTCTCCTTGTATTCTTCTTCTCGTTGTTCATCAAAAATTGTCCCCAAAATCAGGTTTAATTTTTGTTGGTTATTTTTTGTTTCAAAAAGAGTCGTTGTTGGTTATTCACGCTCGTCCTTTTTTTTTTTGTTCTTTGCTAATGAACTTTCGTTATTTTTGAAAAAAAGTCTGGTAAATCATTCACTACTTTTTGTGTGCCTGCAACGAAAAATTAAATTGTAACCAACTACAAGTAACCAATAGAACCTTTTTACTCATAACTTTGCACTACAAAGGAGAACATATGTACATAAATCTCAAAACAAACTGCTTACTCATAACTGTTTTTAGCATAAAATTAGATAAGAGATATGCTATATGTATATAATATGGTACATAGAGGTGTACATAACACTCAAATGTGAGTGGATCGACAAAAAATAAATAATCAAGTGGACCCCACTCCATATGAGTGTTGTGTACACTTCTACGTACATTCATTATGTACTTTTCCTCTAATAATAAGACCACAACAGACACAGACATATATACATAACATAAACCTTACAAAACCTGAAGAATATTCGCAAGAACTTCTTCTGGAGCCTTTCTTAGACCTCCTTTCCCTAAACTCAGAGAAATGTAAATGATAAAAAAAATTTTACCAATTGATTTTCACCATTAGATAATGGAGCTTAGAAAAGACAGGGAGATAGTCGTCAAGGTATTTATACTTTTAGGTCTACCTTTGTCTCGGCCAAGGCAGAAACTATTTAAAATCTTTGTTTCTTATCTGCCGGGAACATATAACAAGTAGTTGGGTCCTTCTTGCAAGAAATATGCAATAGAAAGAATACTATCAGCATTCTTTGAGGTGTCATGAAACTCGAATAATTTTTTTAACAATCAACCTCTTAAGTGCCCAAGATTTGCTTGATGCAATAACACAAAATCTATTAAGTTACACAAGAATATTTTTTCCCGAAGTAAGAAGGAAAAGGGGTTAAAATCACCTGAGCTTTCATTTGTTGATTTGTTAACACAACAGGATGGCCACAATGGGAATAACTAATTTGAAGCACATGATAAGAAAAAATAAGAAAGACACCATGCAAATTAAATGCCAAATATAAACAAATTTATTAAAACTAATCACCAATTCGAACACATAATCTGTCAAAGAGGATCAGATACATCCCAAGTTTCTGAAGATCATTCCTTTTCCTAACTAAATTAAAAGAATTATCACTAAAATCAACCTGAACAATTGTTCCGTTCCCTAACCAAATTAAGAACTTATCACTAAAATCAAACCACATATACCTGAACGAGATATTCCATCCACAAACACCTTAATTGATAATAGCAAACTCTTCAAACAGATCAATTTCAGTTTAATTTTGAATATCCTCAGAGTAACGCATAACATGGATCCTTAAGCCGTGAAAGATATAGGGGGCCAATATCACTAAAATCAAATCTAACTTAAGTAGACTAATATATATATATATATATATACAAAGAAAGAGATAGAAAGACTTGCAAGAAAATGGGCTACGGTTAACGACAATGCGAAAACCATCAACCTTCCCTACTTCATCTGCCAATATTTTAGCATCATAATGAAAGCGCCCCAATATTTCTTCATCTTTTTTTTCAACCTATAGAAAAAAAGGAGAACCAGTGAAAAGGAACATAGAAATAGAAATGGTAACTTCAGATTAGTTACGCAAATCATTGTTCGCTCAGAAGAAAATATGAAGAAAATAGAAAGAAAAGACTACCTTACCAAGCTCAGTTAAACCATCTCGATCGTAACTTTGGAATGATAAGAGCGTGAACTGAAGCTTGTGGGGATATATCACGAAAAGCAAGAATCAATTGATCCTCGTATACAACGGTTGAAGGGATATACTTTCAAATAATCTTGTTAAATCTAGAAAGAAATCGACAATACAACATGAAACTGTGCTTAATAAAACTTCACATGATGACACAGTGCCTTAAACAACAGGTAAATCTTTCCAAGTGGCAGTTAAGGAAAGTGCTTTTCTCACTTTTCATTATTCCCAACATTAATATTAGGGATAGAGAATCGTAATGTGATTTCATACGAGCGAGCGACCCCGCCGACAACCCTTTCACGAGCTACCCGTCGGTAACCCCTTCCTCGTCACGAGTGGCCCGTCATCTGTCATCTGCTCCTCTCCTCGAACCGATCTTCCTCGTTGAATTAGGGGTTTGAAAGGAGAAATCCATGGGAGGTAATTAGGGTTGAATCCTCTCTCTTTCTCTTTTTTTTCCTCATTGAATTAGGGCTTCCCTTCCCTTATTTGTGTGGTGTTTGGGACATAGAATTTCACTTTTGAATTTCACAATTTACTTGATTGGTTATGTCATGAACGTTGTTCTGTGATGTACTTTCGGTTGTTAGTTTCTGATTCCATTTGCAAACAACACTTACGACCTATGTTTAGTGCTGCCATAGATGATTAAGCTGCTCCCTGATCTATTGGTGTGTGTCTCTGTGTGTGTGTTGAGCACAATGGTGCAGTCCGTAACAATTGTTGATTATTTTGTGCGAATAGTGACAACAATTATCCTTGTGAAGGTTTATCCAAACCACGTTCATTTGTAAAAGTTTTTGTCATGTCCTATTATGTTTATAATATCCTTCTGCTGTTTGAGATAGGATCGAGTGATTGGTCGTACGTAGATATAAAGAGATCTACTTTGGCTAATGGAACAACTTTGCTGAGTCAAAAGGGAATTTTTTTAGATCACTTGCGGTCAAGTCTTCAAAGTTCGATGATGAACACAGAACATATTCGAGATAGTACTGATGTTTTTGTCTTATCTTACGCAGCTGGCCCAGATGCAGCTATATCGGTACAATTGGCACTTGCACTATAATTAGAAATTAGAGTATGAAGTAATGGATATATGAGGCATGTTAAATACTTAATCGTCATAAATAGCGTCTCATTGTAGTAGAAGTAGAACACACAATGATATAAATGCTGAAGTTTCTAAACGCGTATTCAAAAGGGGCCTATAGCTGATGCCTTGGTAAATTTACATCCTTATTTTTTTTTTCTTCTTTCGTTGTTGGCCTAGCAGTTAATATTTTGACATAAAATTCTCGTAGTACTTAATAAATAATCATAAAAGCTACTACTCCTTGAGCTTCTGTCTAATTGCTGTAACACTCGACTCTTAAGAAATTGCAAATGCTTCCTTCGTATTTGCAAATGCTACAACCTTATATTGTTATTGGGTACAGGTAGTCTTCATATTTCTCGAATAACATAATAGTGATTATAATTATTGTTCTACTTCTTATATTCCCCAAGTGGATACCTGGACTATGATATGATGTTCAGGTCTTGCAAAAACCTGGAAGGTATCATCTACAGACTCACAATTTAAACTTTATGTGCCAGCATGCTACTTTAGGGCCATCATGATTTCATTGATCTCTGTGATTTTCATTTTAATGCAAAAATCTGATTTTGATATGTTCTTTGATCAGGATGCCATGCAAAGGAGAAGAATGGCATCAGATGTTGCTGCTGAAGCTGTGGAGGAGCCCATTGCTACAGAATCAATTGTTAGAAATCTAAGGTATGCTTCTTATATTTGTACAAAAATTGGAGATAATCTAATGTGCATTAGCTTTCTGGAGACATAGTAAGTAATTATAGTAGTGCCACTCAGTTATTATGTTTCAAATGGCTTGGTCAATGAAATGTGCGGAGATAATTTATTTTTTTCACTGTATTAGCTCCTTTAGGTCAGTCGTATCACTGTATATGTTGCTTCTGAAAATTTATTTCTAGTTATTCGTATTACGTTTATGTATCTGTTATGTTTGGCATTCTCATGGTTCGATCAATAACCTTCCCCTGTGTGAAAGTGTGCATGTGTGTTCCACTTCAAGATGATGATGGTGAAGATGAATGTATGGTGAAGATGAATGTGATGAGATGGATGACAAAAAATATAAGCCCTGGTTAGTTTACTATCAGATTATGTCGAGTGGCGAGTTTAAAATCAGAGGAAGTGGAGCTTGTTTGGTGGATAATCTCACAGAATACGACGTGTAAGTACTTTCTTCTATTTAGTTCTTTTTTTGGCTTGTCAAAATTTGGCAGGAGTTCGTTACAGAGAGAACTAGAAATTTGAAGAATATTGATTATGATTGATATCTTTAGTTTAAATGCTTCTGAAATTTATGTGTTTCATTTTTGCTGATCAGGAGAAGTGTCCTGAGGTCGAAAATTGTAGAGTTTCAGAATTCATATGACGACTGAAATGGATTATGGAGTCATCACAATGTAAGTTCATTTGACCCCATTGAGCATCGTAGCCTGCCTCCGAACGGGTGTGGAGGATCGTGGATGAGATATCAGGGCTCACGCTTATCGAGACAGTTGGGCTTTCATCGATCATGATGAGAAAGCTGAGCATCAAGGAAATGCCCGTTATATGCAGCATGAAGCCAGGGTCTGTGGAGCCCACAGCCGCCATGGCCGGGCCCACGACCGTCAAGGTAGAGAAGAAGCCTGAGAATACAGCCTTTGAGCTAGAAATGGAGTCTTTTGATGCGGCATCTAAGCTCAAGGTGATTAAGGAGATTGGAAGCTTTACTGAACTTGGTCTGAAGGAGGCCAAGGACTTTGTGGAGAAGACGCCAACTTATCAAGAAGGGGGTCTCGAAGGAGGAGGCGGAGAAAATTATCGAGAAAATGAAGGCAATCGGGGCAAATGTTGATATGGAATTTTTTTTTTTTTTCTTGGTAATTTCGTGTTTCTTGGCGAACTTTTTATTGCCAAATGGGAGAATGGCGTAGTTTCATGTTTTTTTTCTTCGATCTGGATGGAGCTTTTTACTTTTATCTGAGCTTGGGAACTGGAATTGAAGAAGATGTGCACTTCTGAGTAATGCAGTGATTTGTGTTGGTATTCATTTCATTAGCTGATATATACTGCTGCAATGTTTCATGCTTCACAACTTTTGTCATACACAAGTATGCAAAAAGTTCTCTTGTATTAATATTGTTTGCATCTATATTGTGCTTTACGTTCTCTTCATAACATTCATTATGTTTTAATAGAATTCGGTCGAAGGATCTTAGCATTTGTCCATGGCTTGTTAGCAAAATTCTGTATTTCTATACAAGTTTTGCTTGTCAGAAAATGAGAATCGGCCCTCATTCTCGATTGGTATAAAGTACGATGAGCTTTGGAACAAGAACTCTTTTCCCTCGACACATGTACTTTTTGATAGTTCAAAAAGATAAGCTTTCTAAAAAAAAAAGAAAACACACAGGTTGATAAACTAATGTATCCTTTTATTTTAGCACTATAAATTCTCCACAACCAAAATTATGCCTCCACAAGGTGTTACATGCAAGTGTACCGATCTAAAAAGTTACTAAATGTATATCAATCACTAAAATTCTGTACAAGAACAATCGAATCTAATTACACGCGTATTAAAAAGCTTACAAACCAACATTTCAAGAGAAAAATGTACTAGAAAATGCTTTTGTTTAACAGCACACTGAATAAGTGTTGCTCTCATCCCCAACAAATGCACATCCGAGCAAAACGGACTGAAAGTGACTGTTCATGCCGATAAATGGAACAAACGACAATCTAAACACATTCTTTACACACGTTGTATCAAACAAAGCTGCATCAGAAAAGTTGCTGTAGTCGAACGATTCACACTTTACCAACGTCCATCTGAAAAAAATAAATAAATGAAAATGAAAATCTTAGTACAAATACTTTCTCAATTTTTTTTCCTTTAAATGTGTTTGGACAAAAATATATGAATACAAGATACAGTTTCTTGCTCAAGAAACTTATTTCTTGAACAAGAAGTAACTTTTTATTGAACACGAAACCGTGTCTTGTTCAAAAACCAGTTTCTTCTTGAGCAAGAAACATGTTTCTTGAGAGAGATACAAGTTTCTTGCTCAAGAAACAGGTCACTTGAGTAGGAAACAGACTTCTTGCTCAAGAAACATGTTTCTTGAGCAACAAAAAAGTTTCTTGAGCAAGAAACCCGTTTCTTGTTCAAGAAACGCAAGAAATCTGTTTCTTCCTCAAGAAACTCGTTTCTTGAACAAGAAACTCGTTTATTGCTCAAGAAACCCGTTTCCTGCTCAAGTAAGAAACTTGTTTCTTGTGTAAGAAACTTGTTTCTTTCTTGCTCAACATCCGTTTCTTGAGCAACAAACAGTTTTTTGGTCAAGAAATTATTTTTTGTCAAGAAACTGTTTAATCTTCAACAAACGATTAATTAAGCTCCTAAACTAAAAAAAAAAAACGACTAACTTAACGATACAACAAAAGTCAATTAACTCCAAAACACAACCTTTTTTTTGAAGCACAAAAACTCTATTTTTTTTTTTCTTTTAACTCCAAAAAAAATGAGTTCAACAAAATAGAATGATACTAGGCAAATCAATAATTTTGGGAACAAAAATAATAAATGTGTTAAAAAAATATTTAACATAAGAAAAAAAAAACAAAATTAGGTTTAAGTTAATGTACCTTTTTTCTTTTCAAAGAGGGATTTACTTAGGATGTTGGAGATAGATGATTCATTTTACTGAATTTTGGGAAGATGAATTTTTTTTTCATCGGGCCGTGCGCGCAGCAAGGAAGAGGAGAGAAGATGCACATGGAAGAGGGAGAAGATGTACAGTGAATGAAGCGTGCTGCAGTATCTGATTCTTTTTTTCTTTGCTTTTTTTTTTGTTTTTTTTTTATTATTGGTAGGTATTAAAGGTATAATTGTACTTTTAATCCTTAAAATGGCTAGATTTCATTGTTTTTCAAAACATGGCTATATTTCATTTTTCTTTCAAAAAAGTGCTATAAATCTGCGGGACTGTTTATAAAGTGTAAGTAAAAAATTAAAAATTGTGCCATAAACATAACTAGTACAACACCTGTGTATTACACAGGTGCTTGTTGCAAAATATTCTTAAATTTTAAAATTAATGAGAAAACTATATTAAATTTAGTTTACTTTTTTTACAAAAAAAATATATTACTATATATTTTAGAATGATATGTGTTACTTATGGCTTACATGTGTTATATTATATTGTTTTTATTACATTAGTTGATAAATAATTTTATTTTTCTAATTAATATTAAAAATAATTTTATTATTGTTATAAAGATAAATATAAATTATATTTTTTTTATACATACAATATGAATGTTAAATCGAAGTTCATCAAAAGAAGATTAATTTGAGATACTACATATGTAAAACTGATAAAAAATACAAAAGTTATTAACTTTTAAAATTTATATACAATTCAATAGTTATAATATTAAAATGCAATTAATACATTTAATATGAACATAAATAATCAACATATTTATGGTAATCCGAACCTAATTATTTTTTGTTTGGAATTAAATTAAAATTTATCCAAGCCTAATAACGAAGCACATAATTTTGTCACATAGGATTCCGAAACACCAGAAGCAGCCACGTAGGCTCAGCACGTTCTGAATTAATATATAGGGGATGTGTCAAAAAATATTAAAATTTACAAAATGTTGAGAATCAGTCGTTGAAAAGAACATCACAAATAGCAGAGCTGAAGGTTTTCGAATGTCATGGTTTAAACTTCAGTATTCAACTCAATTCTAGTTCAAAGCATTTATCTAGAGTAAGAAAAAAAAAAGTAAAAAAAATTCTGCCATGAACATAATTTGTTACATATCTGTCCCCAAAAAACCTCATCTGCAAATCCGGAAATCGTAGACCTTATTCTCCTCCACATTTTGAAGACTAAAACTCTTTTGTTGTGGCCCGATTTCTATTCACCTATAATCAAAAAATAAAAACAACGTAAGTAAGACTAATCAATTACATAATTAGGAGGTATCACTAAACACCTAATGTTTGTTGAATATCCTCTGAGAAATATATGACATACGGACTAATCTAAAAAGGAAAACATTATGTTCTATTGATATTAAAGCAACAAAGACGTGAGATTTTTTATAATATGTGATAGTGCATTTGTGTGAACAAAAGTATATAGAGAAGAAATATTTAATGAAAATTTTGAATGTAGACCAAATTTCACATAAGCCTATTGATAAAATAAATAATACACACTAATAATATGTGTGAACGGTTTATTTCTAAGTCTATGCAGGGCTATACATGACAATCCCGAAAATATTAGATATCGTGGGACACATGCATTTTCACCATATTTTGAAAGAATAAATTTCAATACTATCTGCAAGGAAGCTTCTATCTGCTAAAAATCATTGGCACCAACAAATGCAGCAACAACTAGACAATCGATCACCTGATAAAAAAAAATAAAGTATATACGATTTAAGTTAAATGAGAGAGGGAGAGAGAGGGAGAGAAGAGGGAAAGAGAAGAAGAATAAGAGGGTTGAAAGGCAGAATAGGGACAAATAATGCAACTATTAGACTTGCAAATTTCATTACCCAGTATCATACACACACACATATATAAGTAATGCCCCGTCCTTAGATTTCAGAGGTTATGAGAAAACGGAAAGTGACTACAATCACATGAAAGTAAGAGGTAACGATCACATGCAATAAACTGAAATATGAGTAGAGTGAAGATCCTGCAGCAACTTTTCTAGGCGTGAAAACTAAGCACTATGTCGTATTACATTGTATGTCATGATACATAATTAATTTTAAATACAAATGATTAACAAATAAACCAAAATTTAAGAATTTCAATAACTTTTTTTTATCAAAACTTCCTAAATAAAAGGAGAACAGGTACTCTTACAAAGATGCCCTCCTTGGGTGACTTCGTGCCGATTTCGCTCGACTATACCTCTCAATGATACGTCGCGACTGACCATGACCTTAAAGCTCTTTCGATGTTGCTATTCCAGGTCTGTAATCAAATGAAATATATGTTTTTGCAACGAGCTGCAGTATATAAAGATCAAATATTTAGAAAAGATATATAGCTTAGCAAAAGCATACCCAGATGATTTGTAGGTTCATCAAGCAACAATACATTAGGGTTCATGAAAAGAGCTCTTGCTAGAGCAATCCTCATCCTCCACTCACCAGAGAAGTCACATGTTTTCTTTTCTGCATTTTCTTGTTCAAGCCAAAACCAAATAAGATCTCAGCAGCTCGTTTAGCAGCAGACGATGCATCCAATGCATCTAGAAGTTCATAAATACGCTCAAGATATTCAACACCTCCATCATCCTGTGATAAAATATAGAAAACATTAATACCTCATCAGCTGGCCATCTACAAGACACGTAATTCTGGTGTGTGTGTGTGTGTGGATATACTTGTACCTTTCCAGCCAATGCTTCGACTTTTTTCTCCAGTTTCAACCTATCCTCATCACAACTTATAACAGTCTCAAGTGAAGACATGTGAGACTATGGTTCATTGGCTGGCCCACCAAGTCAAAATGTGTATTTCACTGAAAAACTACAAATGACTCTCAGTATCCCATCCCAACAATGAAAAACTATTGGTCCACCAGTCACTACTGCATACTTCATTCATTTCAAAAAAACCATTCTTAGCAAAACCAACAAAACAGAAAAATTATAATTTTCTTCAAATCAACTTCAACAAACTAGTCCAAGAAGACACATCATGTGAACCTCACAAAAGCAAACACCACAGTCACAAGCAAGCATGAAGATAACCTGAAAATACAAAATAAAAAATAATAAAAAAAAAAAAAGGAAAAAGAAGAAC